TTATACCCGGTATGGATAATCTTCTACCGGGGATAATATTTATCAATAACCGGGTATCGAAGTGATAAGCTTCTTCAGGAAGCTTATTTCCAATACACTACTAAATAGATAAACATATTTACGGTGGAGTCCCATATGGATAAGCTTCTTCAAGAAGCTTATTTATAACGGAGTACTAAATGAACATCTATAATATAATATATTTATAACAAATTTTTGATGTTTTTACTTTGACTAGGTCACCTGCCGTAAAACGACAAAACCTTAATAGCATATCTGTTGTTGTAAACTCAATGGATTACCTCTGTCAAAATGTAATATGACTAGGATCCACTCTTATATGGTATTACCTGCGATGTTGTATGTGTACGATTCTGCATTATATCCGCCGCAATCAAGTTAGCATTATCATGGAATAAGAGGAACCGGACCTGTAGAACAATTTAAAATGCAATTCTTTATGTATGATTTCTATCGAGCCAAGTACATAAGTAGTTGAATGAAAAATATCTCAAGGTACGAGTTTATTGAGGTAGACTATCACTGAAAAGATAAAGTTCTGTTTGGAAACATATAACTGTGCCGAGACATTTGATTAATTTTAGTTATGAATGGGTGATTTACGGTGTGGTGGATCGTAATCCATCTCTATAATATCTCGATATAAATTCTTATTTCCAGTCTGGGAAGCCACTGCTATGTCCTGCGCTGCTGACCATCTTGCACCCTACAAAAAGCATTACAGTTTATTAAGAAGTCATGTCAACTTAATACTTTTCAAATTTTAATATATATCATCTAAAACCAACATGATATACGCTTGAAGTGATTTCCCTTTTTAATTTTTTCTTTTCAGGTGGGATGCATCCATTACTGCACCAAGGAAAGTTATAAAATATCGTTTATATTCAACGAGAAAAAAAAAAAGCCGGATTGTTAGTATAATTGCGTTCAAATCATATCGAATAGTTGAACAGAAACGAAAAATAATATTCGACCCACAAGTTTCTTGTGTGTTCTTAAGCAATTTAATCTCCTCACGGTTGGCCAAGGTATTTGAATTAATATTCCTCCCAGAATAGAATGAAAAACTATTTTGTAATAGTAACGCTCTAAATAATAAAACTTCAATGAACTCAATAATGGAACAAATCATATAATGCAAAATATGCAAAAACATTTGGAATTTTTGTTATATAAAATCTAAAACAATGCCTTTGTATTTATAAGTATAATGAAAGAATAATATGGAGAGGTATAATTCAAAAGATGTCTCTTTTATTTCACATTCACTTCGTTTTTAAAAAAACCTCAACAGGAGCAACTGAGTAAATTAGGAAGTAAACTTTTGGAAGCATTGGAAAACAAGAGAGAGGATAAAAAATTTAGTAGTCAAGAAGGCCACTAAAAGGAACTACATGATTCCTTTGTATAAGATCGTATAAATAAGGGATTTAAGTTGTACTTGTACACACCTACGGTGTAAAATCTTCTTGTATTATCAGTGTAGATTAGCCTCTTCTAGGGCATAAGTTACCATATTTTCCAGTTTATCTTTTTCTTTTTTGGGGGGTGGGGGTGAAATAAAGATCTTAAATTGTAAATTATCAATCAAGACTAATTATAACAACTTACATATGAATATCTTTTAAGTGAATGATTTTGCAAATTCTTTTTATACTATTCGTTCATAAAATTTAAAATATATAAACAATATATGGAGCTTGCCACATCATTGCAACAGATAAAAGGAAGTAGGTGATTCTTTTGCTAAGTACGGTCTAGGATTCCATGCACGAGGACACAGGAATCCTTTTTTGTTTAAAGAAAACTTAGAATACAGTATTGCTTCCTCTGTTCTAATTTATATAGCATTATTTTCTTTTAATCCAATGATAATTTTCTAAACTTGAAAAACTCGTAGTAATAAGCTTTTATAAACTACATTGCATATATAAAACTATAAATTTCAAAAATCTTTATAATCACAAAAAATATTATAATATATTTAAGATCATAAATTTCAAAAGTCTTTTTTTTCTTATACTCTTTGCTCGATCAAATTATGTCACATAAATTGACAAATTGAAAGGAAGAGAGCAATTGCTAAGAGAAAAATCCTTCCATGTATTAAAACAAGGACACAAATCTTGTCTCCTAAAGATAGAGTGAAATGAAAACTTCAGTGTCTATAACTTCAACGTGCCCAATGTGGTATTTTGAAAGGAAAAACAAAAACGATGACTGACTTTGTCGTTCTCAGTTGAAACATGAGGAAAGAGACGACTCCATCTGCCGTACAGAAGTTAGGAGTGAAGAATAGGAGAAATTTTATTTTGTGTCTCGTACAACTTACACTAGTTGTATGAGGCTCTTTTTTGTCTCACAAATTTGTGGACCCCAATCTTACACTTCTGGGTCCACAGAAATTTGGATCCATAAAACTGTGAGACAAAAAAATTGTCTAATACAACTAGTTTCAATTATACGAGATACAAAATAAAATTTTCTGTTTCGAATAGTATGTCAACCTCAAAATGGAGTAATATACTTATAAAAGAACTTTCTGCAATTATTACCTTAGTTTTTAGTGCCTTGAGCAAACGTGCGTGGGGCAAAGATGATGGAGAAATCATTTCAGTACCTGCATGTCTAATCCCATCAATTACTTGCAAATCATACTAAGTGAACAGTAGAAAGGAAAGCAAGCCGAAATGATTGTATATTTGTATCACTTGCAGTTGTGGACAAGGTTTAATCAAAATAAACAGAGAATAAAATAGAAAAAGAATTAATTTCAATTTTGATTGGGGTTGTTAAAATGTTATGGCCTCAATAAACAAAGTATACGTTCAAAACTTCATAAAACTTTCATTTATCACTGCATTCTCCAGGATAAAGAAACCATTCAAATTTAGAAATATAATAGAAGCATTGATTCAAGAACGACTAAGCTTTAGCATATGTGTGCAATGAACAACATCTACCTATAATTTTCTTGAAAAACATAAAATTCTCAATGTTTTACCTGCCAAAACAAAAAGACACTCCATTAAATACGATGGAAATGAAGGGAGTAATGTGAAAGGACACCTGAAATTGTGCCTTTATTGTCATTCTTTTCCTTGTGAAAAACTTCTATTTTTTTGACCTTTTGATAGTTCGTAATTCCTCTAGGACCGTTTTCTACACGGGACGAATCAGTGCCGAAATAAAGCTCTTCTGCAGCCTGCATGCGTATAATTTTCCAAGTTAATAATAAAAAGGGTAATCCGTGCACGAAGTATCCCGTGTTCAGGCAGTGTCCGGGAAAAAACAGTATCCTAAATGGTTGATTTCACGGTTCGAACCCGTGAGCTATAGGTCACACAGAGATAACTTTATTGTTGCTCTAATGCTCCCCTTCAAGTTAACAATGTTCCATCAAAAGAAAATTACAACATATATAGTTTCAAAAATTGATCGCTGAATAATACCTTTTTATTAGCTGGAAGACGTGAATAATGTGTCATGAGCAGTGACTTGCGAGCAATACAAGAATGATTGGGAAAGTGATAGACGATGACGAAGAATAAGAAGAAGGAAAGATAAGATGAACATGAACACGAAAGAGGCATTATGGTTGATATTATTCTTTTGAAAGGGTGTCGATGCACGATGATGAGGAGATATGTGTAAAGTTTTAGCAAAATTTATAATGGAGGAGAATGCACGTTAGTTATTGCATGTCTGGCCAAGCTTCGGTCAAAAAATATTTTAAGTGAGAAGTTATTTGGGTTTGACTAATTAATTTAAAAAATACTATTAAGCAGCAATTAGTATTTGGGCAATCTTTCAAAATTATTTCTAAGTGTATTTGTAGTGCTTTTCAAAATAGTTCAAGAGAAGTTATTTTTTTCTTTTTCTCAAAAATTGGTTCTACTTTTACTCAATATCATTTTTTCCATTTGGAGGGCTAGGAATGAAGCAGTTTGGTTGAAGAAAGTGCCACGGCCTCAAAAGGTGCTGGAGCAAATACAGTATACTTGTAAATACAGATGCCTAGAAGCTATACGGGGAATGAAACTACAGAAGGAGACTAGTTGGATAGAGGACTTATACAAATAGATATCGACTGGAATTGTATGATTGAATAGAGAGGTAGTAGATACTGACTAGAAATGTATCAAAATAGAGAGTTAGAAAGTGTAATGGTTTTGGGTCTGGATAGAGATGTAGGAAGGGATGGGAAGCGGATATGTCAAATTGTAAATGTTTTGGGTTTGGAGGATTGAATAATAAAATTTATTTCCACCAAAAAAAAAATCATTTTTTCCTTTTAAAAACTTGTTTAAGCACTTTAACTTTAAAAAATATTTTTGATTTTGACCAAAAAAAGCTTGTCGAAATAAGTACTCCCTCCGTTCCAGTTTATATGAACCTATTTCCTTTTTAGTCCGTTCAAAATAGAATGACCTTTATAAATTTGAAAACAATTTAACTTAAACTTACAATTCTAACCTTAATAATAAGTTTTTATAACTACACAAATACTCTGGCTCCTTTTTGACCTACTTAGAACTATAAATTTTAAAAATCTTTATTTTTTCTTAAATTTCGTACCTAGTCAAACTGGTTCACATAAATTAAAATGGACAGAGCATTAGATACTGCCAGGAGAGACAAAGGAAGCTGGCTAAACTGTGCAAAAGAACGTGGAAATTTCAATGTTTGACGAGACGTATGAACAAGTTTTAAAAAAAAAAAAAGTTAAGTTGGCCTACCTTTGTCTCCCCACCACTTTCGTTAGCTCTCCCAAATTACGCCCAACTTACTCTTCCACAATTTACAAGAGCTAGCGTGAAATCTGTCCTGGGCAAAGAAATTGTCGCTATCATCGGATCTAACATTAAACTGTCATGTCAATATTAGAAGCAAACAGTCGAACAAGTTGATTTTTATTTTAACATAAATAACCAAATAGACATTTTTCCATATTTTTTAAAACCGATTTTGTTATAATGCTTTCAGGGGTAAACATGGTTCAGGATCGCAGAGATATAATTATTAGTACGTAGGGATGGCAGTGGGCGGGGTAGAACAGGGTGCAGGGCGAGTTGAGACTTAACCCGCATAAATTTAAACTCACCCCACCCCGCTCCGCCCGTAAAAAGTAAATCATTTTTTATACTTCTGCTAAAGCACACAAGTTTAATATAGTATTTGAAATTTGAAGATATAATATTAGCTACTTGCATCTTCAATTTAATTTCTCAAATAACGTCAATTTTTTAAAAAGAATTTGTTCACTTCTTTTCTCTTTTCAAACAAAAATAAAACTCCAAAATAATAGTGATTTATTAAAACAACTTAAGTCAACTATACAAAATTGTTAAAGCTTAAAATGAAGAATTATAAGTTGGGATACTGAAAGTTAGAGCGCTGTAACTTCATAAATTCAAAACCCATCAATGTTAAAAAAAAAAAAAAATCATGAGCCATGAATGTTAGCTATATTCTGGGTCTTAGATGTGCTATTTATTTTGTTTCTTCTTTACTTGGTTTTGGTTCCAAGTAGGTAGTAATTTTGATCTCGAAGTAGCATAAATCAGTTTTAAGCGTATTCCACATAATAAACGCTAGCTAAAAGAAATTCAAGACCCCTGATTGTTTAACAGCTTGTTTGGATGGTTGTTAACCATGGTAATGTATCGTATTGTTACTTTAAACACAATGTTCGTTTTGATTGTTACTTAAATTTTATTGTATCGTATCGTTAAATCCGTCGTTATATAACGACGAAATGTGCCATTTTATATAACGACCGATTTGATATGATCGCGTCGTTACCTTATCTTTTTCTCTCAATCTCACCCTTTATTATTATTAAATAATTTTATTTTATCATTAACTCTATATTTTTATATAGTAATTTTACCCTGTATCATAATTTTTCTTTATAATATTATAATTTTATTCTTCATATTGATGGTGCATGATATCATGAAACGATGGCAAACGACACAATCTATCTAAATGTTGTATACAATATAATACAATACAGTACGATACAATACATTATGAAACGATGCGTACCAACCATCCAAACAAGTTGTAAGTTAGAAATATAAACTTTGAAGGTTTTGGATTCAAAATTTTTAAAATTCCTAAACCACATTAGATTTTAACAAAATTGTTTCAACCCAGCCAGCACTTGCACCCGCCCCACACCCACACCAGGATAAACCTGCCCCGCCTCGCACAAGGTCAAAACCGCCCTACCCCAAAAGCTTGGCTTAGAGGCCAAGAGGGTTCAAATTTTGTAGAAGGTCATTAAAAAATTGACTGATTGGGATTTAGATTTGAAAGATCCCCCCCCCCCTCTTCATTGCCTCACTCTGTCTGCCACTCCCTCTCTCTCACTTTGTTATCTCACAACACTGATCTCATCTGTCTGACTCGCTGCTATTCTTCTCTCTGTTGCTGGTGACATCCAATCCTACTCTCTATATAAAAGTAATACGGTCGTTAGCAATAATAAATCCAACAAAGGTTGAGGTCGAATCCCAGAAGGAGTAGGTGTATGTTAGAGTGTCCAAATGTGTGCAAACTCAATGATTCTTAAAGTAATATTCAAAGAAAGAGTGGTTGTTCAATTACTTCAAAAATTACTTCTAAACTTACTATGAAAACTAGTCTAGGAATTTTATCAAATACTTAGAGTGCGAAGAAAGATGTAGTTATAACAAATAAGATAAAGGCGCTAGGATTGTTTTCCCTTCGTGTAGGCTATGTTTTTGGGTATATAAATATTCAATTCTAGTTAATTAAGCATGTGTTATGGACTCAATTTTTATTCCACCAACTTATTCTTCTAACACTTAAGAGGTTTTTACCCCAAGTTACTCTTCCAAGTCAACTAAGGCTCAATGATAAACAATTGATTAGTCCAAGAGAAATCACATTATTCCTAGTTAGATTTTATTAATCAAGTGATTAACCCACTTAATTCCTTGCTAATTATCTTATACCTAAGCTAAGTTCCACCTTCCAAGTTAGAACAAGCAAAATAGGCATGTATTTAGTGTTTGCAACCACAAAATCAATCAATAAAGTATGGAGTAATTAGAGAACACAAAGCTTAATCAAATTAACATTAATAACCTAAAAACATAACCACACTTAGGGTTCACAATCCTAGCTTAATAAACTTAGCTAGACATATTAAGAAAGGAAAATACAAAAAGAGATGAAAATTTAAAAATAATAGCTAAAGAGGAAAGAAAGATTGTGTAGAACAATGGTGAAGTCACCCAAATTTCTCAAGAAAAAATCCCTAACAGCTGCTACACAAGTCTCCTTGCCAACAAGATGCCCTAGAATGACTTAAAATAGCTATATATACTAAGTCCCAAAAGTGGACAAAATTGCTCTATTGGGCCAACCGTAAGGTCAACCATGAGATGCAACTGAACCGTAACGAATTCTAGAAGCTTCATTTCTTCAACTCTTCAGGCTTCTGTTGAACCATGTCCAACGGTTGGAGCAACCGTGTCCAACGGTCTGCCTAAAAGTCTTTTTGTTTCAACTTTCTCCAGTTTTAGCTCTAAAATGATGACTTCTTGACCATTTTTTATATTCACCGATTCCAAAATTTTCACACAACTTCAAAACCTGAAAATACACCATTCAAAGCACAATTATCCAATTTATTCCAACAAATGGGACATTAAACCCTATCAAAACATAAGAACAATTAGCTAAAAAACTAACGAATCAGTTTCCTCGTCGGTCACTGGCGTCTCTTCCGTCATGGCTTCCCAGGTATGTTCTAATTTTTTCCTGAATTTTATTAGTATTTTATTAACGAATGTTGATTCTTAATTTAGGTTAATGCCTCTTGTTTGTTATTTCTTGATTTTTGATTATGTAGACTCTAGTACTGTAAATTATAGTCAAACCTCTCAATAACAACCTCGTTTGTTCCGAATATTTTTGGATGTTATAGAGAAGTGTTGTTATATAGAACATATATTATAACATAACATGAAAATTTGTTCCAAAAAGCTAGGCTTTTATAGTGAATTGTTGTTATATAGGCATGATGTTATAGAGGGGTATGACTGTATTGAGTTTTCTAGTGCATTTGCTTTGATAAACTTATGGAAAATAATTGCTGACTTTTTTTTAAGAATTGAGATACTTTTGAATCGATCATGGAGGCTAAAAGCTTCTTTATAGATATTTGTTGTTCTTATTGCATCCGCGATGTTATTGAGAATGACTCTTAAGGTTTTGACACCATCAGGTTCCCTGTTATTGCACCAAATAGTGTTGGTTAATGAAGTTGTGTATCTCAGTCTTGGGATCATTGATTGATGAACTTGAAGATGATGCCTCTGTTTTCTTGAGTTCTTGAAGTCTTTGGTGTATTAATGAACATTAGGTTGAGCACTTAAGTTAAGCAAGCCAATAATATTATTAGGGAATGATGAAACAAAGTTATTTGAAGAAAACCATTATAACTTTTGTGATTTGTTTAATGGTTTAAAGTTAGCTCTCGAGTGTGGTAAATTATGGTAAACATGAGGAACTTATAATCTCCTGGCTTCTTCATCATAAGCCATAGGCTCAATACCTTTATAATTGTATTGAAAAGGTTGAAGTTAC